TATTCCAAACATTTATTATATGCCTAGGTTACAGGACCTTTCTAGTTGCTATGACGCTTTCTTTGTTCTATATTCCGATGTTTGTTTCTTATTAATTTCCTCGTTTTCAGCATGATGCAATGTTTAAAAATTCACTGTATTAATCAACACCGATTACAATTACAACATGTACCCAACTTACCTTTGAATAAAATCTAGCTTCTTGAGCTTAGCAATTACATGTAAGGAAAATAATATAAAATTCAAATGTACAATTAATTACAACAAACCTTGCCAGACTTGGCCTTCATCAAAATTATTATACAACTTAATATAAATCCTTGCAGTATTTGGCAGAGGCAAATTAATATTATTATTATCATTATATAAATTAGTTACACTTGGGTTATCAATTACTCATACACTGATTACAATCTGGCCAGGAATTGTCTTATAAAATTAATATTATTACAATACATGTTAATTTAAATCTAGCCACTTTGGCTGTTGCAAAATTTAATATACAAAATTAATATAATTAGCTACACTTGGCTTATCTATTACACATACACTTATACACATTAATATATTCTTTAGCCACACTTGACTTTCTTATCAAAATTAAATTGTAATTATTATAATCCACTACACATTAAGTAAATTTGGTGAACTTAACATCCACCCCCTTCTGTCATTTCACTTATGATTATTAAGTAATTAACTAATTAATGACTTCACTAATTACCTTGGAGGGGAGTATGGAAGAAGTGAGGTGTTCAGATATTTGGAGTAGATTTGTCAGCAGATGGTTTATGAAGGATGCAGTTCCCCATATAATAATTCATTGTTAAGCACTAAACACATGTGGGTCATTCAGCACAAGACTTGTGGAGGCTTGATCCTCCATCTGTTGAACATGAGATTTATCACTCGGGAAACTTGGTTGGATTTTTGCATAGCCATGAAAATTCATAGGAGTGCAAAACCCTGTAAAGTCATTCAGCACTTGAGGCATAGGAAACAATCGGGTTTTAAATCCTAGGAAGTAGAGATCAAGTCAAATTCCTTGGACCCAAAGCCCCTCACCAGCATCAGGGAACCTTCCTTGAAGGGAAGTGTACCTACGAAAGCAAAAGACTTGGCAGGCAGTGGAAAACACCCCCCCAATAAAAAGCAGGGGCACCATGGTATGTTTAAAGACAACACAATAAGTGTAAGGGGACCAAGACCTGTTCAGCTGCCTCCCAGCATACATAAGGAGGATTACCAATAGACCCCTGGCTGTCTTCAAGGAGCCAGACAGGCATTTTAAGTCAGTTCATGACCAACAGCCTGGTTTGATCAGGCCCTGATCCACTGCGAGGCCTGATCAGGGGACGGGGTTGCAGGGCATGGCCCCCTGAAACACCTTCAGGTATACATTAGGCAAGGTTGGTAGTCAATGGTTTTCAGCATAAACTGGAGATGGTATGGAATTCCTTATAATTTTTTTATTTCATTGTAATCAAATAATGTTAAATTATAAAAATTGTTTTTAAATATACCAAAGAAATAGTTGTAAAGTATAATATTTTTATACGAATGCAACATAACGACAGTGAAAAACAGAAATAGTATTTCAAGTGTTTTCATGATGTATCACATTATCAAGGAACAGGAAAGCAATAAATAACAAAAGAATTATAATGCTTAAATGTGATCACATGACATTAATCAGTAAGTGTGGGCGTTTACATTTTCATCCTTTTGAAGTTTTAAATCAGGTCAAATGTCAGGTTCTTCATGGGGAAATGGAACAAAGTTCTTCTTCCGTAAGTCATGCGTGTTGTAAGAGGCGACTTAAAATGCCAGGGAGAAAGGGGATCTTTACCGGGGATCTACCTGGAGGGCATTACGGGGATCAATCCCCCCACGGCCAGTCCACAACCGGGCCCTCCCCGGTGGATCAGGGCCTGATCAATGAGGCTGTTATTTCTGGCTGCACGTAATCCAACTTTCGAACCACACCCCGGCTGACCCGGCACCTTCTCTTGTATATTTTACTAAATTTAAAAGGAGAAAACTTTCGTTTTTCTTTTGAGCCACCCTGCCTCGGTGGGTTTAGGGCTGGTTTATTGAAAGCAGCAGCAGCTTAAAATCCTCACAAATTTTTATTTATTAGGCATCTAATTTGTACAGTCTTTGACTTACATCAAACTGTAGTCAGTACTAATTTTTTTATTAGTTTGATTCTATTACAGTTCATTCATTCATTGAATTGCCTTACAACTTTCTCAGCCATTTGAAAACCAATGTGGTATTTAATAAGAACAAAAAGGCACAATACTGTGACTGGAACAATACACAAATAACCTGCACATAGGAAGAGGAGCTTACGACAATTGTTAAAATATCTCGCATGATAGCAGAGCATTAGACTCTTGCCCAGTTCAAATGTTATATTTTTGTTGCTGTAATCTAAGTTCCAGATTTTTCCCCAAAATTTTTTCTCAAAAAACGTGATTAGCATTTTGGGAGGAATTATTAATTACGTAAATAATTTTATTATACATTTGATTAAAAATTCTCCCCACAAATGCTGATTGCTGTGTTTATAAGATTCTAAGAAAGTTGTAACCAGCAACTCAATGGTTGAATGAAATATATAAATCAAGCTTTATAAAAAAAGTACTGATTACAATTATATATATCCCCAAAATAGTACAAATTAGATTCATTTATAATACATAATATAATATTTTCTTTTTGGGGGGATTTTCTTTCTTTTTGGGTCACCCTGCCTCGGGGGGAGACGGCCCGACTTGTAAAAAAAAAAAAATTATTTGTAAGGTTTTAAGCTCTACTGAAAAAAACCCCCCTTTACCTGATTTGGCAATTTTAAAAATTTTCCCTAACTTATGACCTGACTAAAGCTTCAAAACAACAGGAACGTATCTCCCACACTCGGTGAAGTCATATGTGCTGTCAATGTGAGGTCGCATCGGGGTTTTTTAAATTTTATGTTATTATATTGCTTTTTTTCCCCTGATAAAATGAGAAATCACAGGAATGTTGGAAAATTTACTATTTTTCACAGTGGTCACATGTATATTAAGATATCACTCATTTATTGTGATCTTAATGCACATAATACTTTTATTTTAGACTTTCAAAAATTAAGGAAAGTACCCCAAAATTATCAGTTATTACTAATTGTATGGAGTCAAACCCTTAAAAGTTGAAATGTTTTGTACTAAATCATTTTCGACACATCACCCAAAAATAAGCAGTTAAAAAATATATAAGAAAATTTGACATTATTTTTATTAGTTTTTTCGAGATTAGACAAATGGTTACAAACCTAATAGTGAATGTAGTATCGAGACAAATATGTAAAAAAATAGAACAAAATTTGTAATGCCAGATTTGAGAAATCAGAACTAAAGTAACCACCCATGAAGAAATTTGAGAGACTTTAAAACTAATGACACAAACCCTTAATCGAAAAAGGGCCCCAATGCAGAATCGAATTTTCTAATTAAAATGTTTTCTGCTGTGGAAGTAGAGAAAATTCCCCGGGAAATCATAACAAATACTGTACCAGGGAACAGATGATGCAGCCGTAGAATGGGGGGTAAGATTCCTGAGGCAACTTACAATGTGAAATAAGAACTTGGTGCCATCACATGCTGAAGGGAAGATCAGAAGAGAAATGAAGACAGTACTGGGAAGAAAAAGCAGGACAACAGAGGAGTAGCTAAAGAAGACTAGAGTACAATACTATATCCCCAGTGCTTGGAGGACAGCTAAGGTCATTCCCAGAAGATGCACTGTATTGTAGTAAAGCAACAATGGGACCCCAAGATTATCAAAGAGAAATGGAGGAATATTAAATACCTAATGTAAGACTCTTGACACTTTAAAACATGATTGCAAACAAATCAGGGAATGGGTGGGGCTTAAACCCATGGCAAGAGTGTCCTAAAACATAGGCCATGGGTTCAAACCCCAACTATTCTGTGACATACCTAAGGCAGGCATGCAAATAAAGCATGGAGCACAGCAGACCGGCTGCAAGTTTTTGGGTTTTTACCCACAGGAAGCACAACCAATGCAGAGAAGGAAAACAGGTCAGAACACTGCCTGTCAAATTCTGAAGAAAACCATGACCAAGAAAAATTTGGTTATAACTACTGTGCCAGAATTTAGCTGCAGGAGATGAACCACAGAGCCTGCAAGTGTGCAGGAGGAAGGTAAAGAGATGAGAAGGGCATCCTTTTAATGGAAGGCACAGAATGGTTTGTGCCACTAAATCCTTCACACTGAGAAACGGGGCCCAGTGAAGCCCAAAGCAAAAGAGCAAGTGTCATGAAAAGTCTTAAGGATTAAGAGCCCATGGTAAGAGTAGAGAAAGCAAGGCCCTGAAATCCAGAAGTAAAGAATGACGACCTCCTGTAGAGAAGAAAAAGTGAAGGCACCTGAGGGCCCACGGGAAAACACAGGGAAAATCCAAACCAACATAGGAAAAACATGTAGGGCAGATGAAAGCACCCCAAGCACACAGAGGAGGTTCATAAAGTTAAAAGGTAGGTCGATAGTTCAGCAGATGAAAAACTCAAAGCATCCAACACAGAGAGGAGCAGGAATGGCACAGGCAAGAACAAAAGATGACGGGCTTCCTCCCATCAGGCAAAATAAAAACTATCTTGACAAGTGATGTGAAGGGGGCCTCAAGGGAGTAAAAGATGTGGGTGAACCTTGCTGGGGCCTGAGAACCAAGAGTGTTGTGAATGGGGCATGACTGTTCCAGGTGGGTCTCCAAGGGCTCCCAATGCAGAAACTTATAAAAAACAGTATTTTCTTTACTGTAAATGTATATGGCAAACCCATATCTTGAAATTCATTTCTAGACCCAAAACAAAATTCTATTTTGTGATTTTTATCTTATAATGCAAATAAACTGCAAATATATGGTATGCATTTTTTTTCACAAAACCTTGAGAGGGAAATTGTACTATAAAACATAATGAAACTTGCATATTTTAATAAAGCTCATGTTTTAAACATTCTTCATGAAAAGGATCTAGTGTTCGAAATTCTCTCCATGTTGGTGGCATGTGATTATGGAGATGGTTATTGCATCTCTTGCAAACATCTGTGAAGAGGGGATACGAAGCTATGAAGCCATGTCTGAAATGGGAAAAATATACCAGTTTAAACCATACATGTTCACTCATCTATTTTATCTAAAATTTTTTCATTTGCATATAATATTATATTACCATATGAACCACTCATTAGCCTTGAAGGGGAAGGGAGGAGGGTGCATTGTAGCTGGCAAAACCTGGACAAGTGTGACCATGGTGTAATAGCGCACATAATGAGTGATAAAGGAATAACAGGAAAATTTGGCACAGTGGAACCTCAGTTTTTTTTATGCCCTGGTTTTCATAGGATTCAGTTTTCGACGACTTTTTTCATCAAAATTTTGTCCCAGTTTTCGTACATCCACTTGGTTTTTGTAGTTGACAATGGTCCGCTGTCCCAAATGCATCGCCTGTCCACGCCCACATAAAACATCCCACATGTTCTGACTCAGTCTCGCTTTTTTCTCGTTGAGCGACCATTCCCCCCGCGCGCCCATCCGAAACATTTCTTAATAACCCATTGTTTTTGGGGCTTGTTTATTGAGTGCAACTGCTAAATGAACCACCATGGGGCCAAATAAAGTTTCGAATATGCCTTCTTCAGTGATTAAGACGTGTGCAAAATGGAGTGGATATCATCCTAATAAAGCTGTTTTCATGCTGTGTCTGCAACATGTTCAATGACAATGCCTTGTCCCATTTTAGGCAAATCTTAAAGAGATGCCAGAAAAAAAGACCTCTCTGGGGCAGATTTCTTGTGCGACAAGGGTAGTGACTCTCAAGCTGATCCTAGTGCCAGTAAAAGACAAAGAAGGGGGTAACCCTGGATAGGGCCTTGATACCTGAAATTCTTATGGACGGGGATTCCCCTTTCCCAAAAATTAACCTCTCCTCCTTCCTCTCCCCCCCTCTGTCTTCCATATGCCAACAAGAGTCTTCAATAAGGTTAAAGTGATGTTAAATGTTCATTTATCCATTTCATTAGTCCCTTTATATTTATTTCTCCTTGTTTTCTGTGGGTAAAGCTATAGTTTTCTCTATAAAATGTATTTTTTGTTAATATTTTTGGGTGTCTGGAATGGATTAAATTTGGGTTTACATTATTTCTTATGGGAAATATTGCTTCAGTTTTCGCACATTTGGGTTTCGTCAGACTTTCTGGAACGAATTAATCACGAAAGCCGAGGTTCCACTGAATATGGATCTATAACTTCCTGACAACTAGAAAAACAGTAAGTCTGAGGGGAGCTACGTGAAAGGTTCTGCACCGAAAAAACCCCAGTACAGTGGACCCCCGCATAACGATTACCTCCGAATGCGACCAATTATGTAAGTGTATTTATGTAAGTGCGTTTGTACGTGTATGTTTGGGAGTCTGAAATGGACTAATCTACTTCACAATATTTCTTATGAGAACAAATTCGGTCAGTACTGGCACCTGAACATACTTCTGGAGTGAAAAAATATCGTTAACCGGGGGTCCACTGTACTCACTCTCATTCTATTCCTCATCCTCATATCTGACATGAGATTATTATTATAATCAAAAAGAAGCGCTAAGCCACAAGGACTATACAGCATCTGACATGAGAGAGTTGTACTCACTTAGCTGTGGTTGCAGATACCGAGTTACAGCTGCTGGCCCTGCCTTTTCTCTGGTCACTACTAGGTCACTCTTCCTGCTCCATGAGCTTTATCATACCTCTTCTTAAAGCTATGTATGGATCCTGCCTCCACTACATCACTACCCAGACTATTCCACTTCCTGACAACTCTGTGACTGAAGAAATACAGTGGAACCCTGGATTTTGTCCTTAATCCGTTCCAGAAGGATGGTCTAAATCCGAAACAGACGAAAATCGAAGCAATATTTCCCATAAGAAATAATGTAAATACAATTAATCCATTCCAGACACCCAAAAATATTAACAAAAAAATTTATTTTAAAGAATAACTATAGTTTTACATAGAGAAAACAATGAGAAATATAAATGACTAATGAAATGGATAAATGAACATTTAACATCACACTTACCTTTATTGAAGACTCTTGTTGGGGTATGGACGGTGAGGAGGGGAGAGGGAGGAGGAGTGGAGGTTACTGCTTGGAAGGGGAATCCCCCTCCATAAGGACTTCAGGTATCAGAACCCTATTTGGGGTTACTTCCCTTCTTTGTCTTTTACTGGCACTGGACCCCTATTGCACTAAAAATCTGTCCAGAGAGCTCTGTTTCTGGCCTAAAATGGGACAAAGTATTGTCACTGAACATGTTGCAAATACGGCTTGTATCAGCTTGGTCAGGGTGATATTTTTCCACAAAAGTTTGCACCTCATTCTACTTTGTACAAATGTCCTTAATCACTGAGGAAGGCACCTTCTCCCCTCTCTCTTTCTCCTCCTCTGAAGCAATTTCCTCAGCTGTAGTCTGTTGCTGTTCCAAATGAAGGTCTTGCAGCTCTTCAGTGGTTAGCTCTTCCCTGTGGTCCTCCACCAACTCTTCAACATCCTGGCCACTCACATCCAACCCCCATGGATTCCACAATAGATTCCACAACAGGTGTAGGATCGACAGGGTCAGCCTCAAACCCTTCAAAATCTTTGCTGAGGACACATTCTGGCCACAATTTTCACCAAGCAGAGTTCAAAGTCCTGGAAGTCACTCCCTGTCAAGCCTTACCTATAAGACTTGTGCAATGGAGGATACTGAAGTGATTCTTCTAGAACTCTCTTAGGGTCAATTCAGTATCAGAGGTCACTTCAAAGCACCTTTGAAACACTGCTTTCATGAAGAGTTTTTCTGAAGTCAAAAATGACCTGTTGGTCCATGGGCTGGATGAGAGGAGTGGTGTTAGGAGGCAAGAACTTCACTGTTATAAAACTGAAGTCCCTAAAGAATTGGTCTTCCAAGTCTGGAGGATGAGCAGGAGCACTGTCCAGTACCAGAAGGCACTTGAATGGCAATTTATTTTCCAGGAGGTATTTTTTCACACTCGGGGCCCAAAAACTTTATGGACCCCGCAATGAAATTTTGGGCCCCGTGACCCATGCCTTATTATTAGCTTTCCACATCAGACACAATTTACTCTTTTACAACATTGTTTTTCTTGAACACTCGGGAATTTTAAGAATGATACACCAGTAAAGGCTTCACTCTGAAATCCCCACTAGTGTTACCACAGAATGAAAGAGTTAGCCTATCCCTTCATAGGCATGATGTAGGTCCTCTTTTGGCATTTTCTTCCAAAAGAGGCCTGTTTCGTCACACTGAAGACTTATTGGGGGACGAAAACCTTCAGCCTCTACATATTCCTTGAATTCATCAACGAATTCTTTGGCCTCACATTTGTCTGAACTTGCAGTCTCACCATGCCTTACAACACTGCGTATGCCACAACGCTTCTTGAATCTGTTAAACCAGCCTCTGCGGCCTTAAATTCACTAACAGCAGCACTCGCTCCAGGCATTTTCTTTACAGATCCAAAGTGGGATCTGCCTTGGGCCCTTTTTACAATGATTGACTCCACAACATTATTAACTGTTTTTCGTTGATCCACACCAACAACAACGTCTCCATATCTTTGACTGTTTATGATCTCTGTTTCGTTAGCATATTTATCCCTTTCACAACATCTGCTTCCTTGTTTTCTACTTTCTTTGCCAGGATGGAACTGAATGTTGATTTGAACTTGCCATACATCCTGGCGAGCTCAGCCACACATACGCCACTTTCATATTTTTTTACAATCTCGAGCTCTATCGTGTTTCTCACCTTCTTAACCAAAGGGCTGGCACTAAGAACTTTCTTTGGGCCCATGGTGGCTTATTTTGCAATCACACTCAATAAACAAGCACAAAAAACAATGGATTATTACAAAATGTTTTGAATGAATGCTCACTCAACCAGTTACAGAGCCAGACTGAGACACGTACGCATGAGTGGCGACATCCTGGGCAGGCGGACATGTCTGATATGGATGATTTCCGGGACAAGGTACGAAATCCGGAGCAAAATTTCGCTGAAAAAAGTGGCCGAAATCCGAATCATACCATATCTGGTGGGGACAAAATCCAGAGTTCCACTGCACTTCCTAACATTCCTGTGATTCATCTGAGTCTTCAGCTTCCAACTGTGACCCCTTGTTCCTGTGTCCCATCTCTGGAACATCTGTCTCTGTCCACCTTGTTGATTCCTCTCAGTATTTTATATGTTGTTATCATATCCCCTCTATCTCTCCTGTCTTCCAGTATCATCAGGTCGATTTCCCTTAACCCCTCCTCGCAGGACATACGCCTTAGCTTCATTACTAGTCTTGTTGCAAACCTTTGCACTTTCTCTAGTTTCCTTATGTGCTTAGCTAGGTGTGGGTTCCAAACTGGTGCTGCATACTCCAATATTTGCCTAATGTACAGAGTGTCCTTATTAAGATGTCAGAATGTTGTTTTTAGGTTTGGTAGGCACCCATATTCTTTGCAGATGACACTTGGTTGCCATAATAGTGTCCTCCATCGAAGACACCGCAAGACTCCAAGCGGACATCAACCAAATCTTCAATTGGGCCACTCAAAACAATATGAAGTTCAATGAAGAGGCATTTCAACTACTCAGATATGGAAAACTTGAGAAAATTAATACTGAATCAAGGTATATAACAAATTCTAACCATACAATAGAGCGAAAGAGTGATGTGAAGGACCTGCGAGTGATAATGTCAGAGGACCTCGCCCTCAAAGACCACAACAATGTATCTACTGCATCTGCCAAGAAAATGGATAATGAGAACCTTCAAAACTCTTCAAATTGCTTTCCTTCTCCAGGCTGGAATACTGCTGTACACTAACTCGACCCCTTCAAAGCAGGTGAAATTGCTGACCTGGAGAGTGAACAAAGAATTTTCACTGTACACATAAGTATGATAAGGCACCTAAATTACTGGGAATGGTTGAAGGCCACTGATTTGAATTCCCTGGAATGCAGGTGAGAGGAATACATGGTAATATACACTTGGAAAATCCTAGAGGGATTAGTACCAAACCTGCACATGAAAATCACTCCCTATGAAAGCAAAAGACTCGGCAGGAGATGCAGCATTCCCCAATGAAAAGCAGGGGTGCCATGAGTACACTGAGACACAACACAATAAGTGTCCAGGGCCCAAGACTGTTCAACTGTCTCCCAGCATACATAAGGGTGATTACCAATAGACCCCTGGCTGTCTTCAAGAAGGCACTGGACAGGCACCTAAAGTCAGTATCTGACCAGCCGGGCTGTGGTTTGTATGTCAGTTTGTATGCAGCCAGAAGTAACAGCCTGCTCGACAGACCCTGATCCACCACGAGGCCTGGTCTCAGACCAGGCCGCGGGGGTGTAGGCCCCTGAATACCTCTCCAGGTATACCCTCCTCTTCCTCGTATCCAACATGATTATGCTCATTCCCAAGAAGCCATATGACTTATGGGCTTAGCTCATCCTATGATTATGATACAAATATACTCACTCGTATGATAAATCTGGTACATTCTGCCACGTAGGCTTTACCACTGTAAATTATTATTACGTACTGTATTTCTTTTGCAGGCACATAAAAACAATGCACATTAATGGCATTAATAATGATCTGATGATTTACATTTGTACAATTTCTAATTTTTAACACACTGGTCATCTCCCACCTAGGCAGGGTGACCCAAAAAAGAAGAAATTAAAGTTTTTCTTCTTTTTACACTTAATAATTTATACAAGAGAAGGGGCTACTAGCCCCTTACTCCCGGCACTGCAGCCACCTCTTACAACACACATCGCTTATGGAGGAAGGATTCTTTTCAACTTTGACATGGAGCAAAGTAATGTACAGTAAGTTCTCACTTAATATCATCGATATGTTCTTGGACATTGCAACTTTAAAGTAAAATGACTTAAAACAAAACCAATTTTACCACAGGCTAATTGATATAAACATCAATCCCGGCCGGGGTATGGTTTGTTTGCAATCGTGTCATTACGATTTCGTGAGTCATCAAGGGTGCACAGGCACCTTTAGCATTCGTTACAACAAGGTTAAATCAAGGAATAAATGTTTACGAGGCAAAAATTTAGGTAGTAGGTTGGTAGACAGCAACCGCCCAGGGAGGTACTACCGTCCTGCCAAGTGAGTGTAAAATGAAAGCCTGTAATTGTTTTACATGATGGTAGGATTGCTGGTGTCTTTTTATTGTCTCATAAACATGCAAGATTTCAGGTACATCTTGCTACTTCTATTTACACTTAGGTCACACTTCACATACATGTACAAGCATATGGGTTTTCTTCTATTTTCTTTCTAGTTCTTGTTCTTGTTTATTTCCTCTTACCTCCATGGGGAAGTGGAACAGAGTTCTTCCTCCGTAAGCCATGTGTGTTGTAAGAGGCAACTAAAATGCCAGGAGCAAGGGGCTAGTAACCCCTTCTCCTGTATATATTATTAATGTAAAAGGAGAAACTTTCATTTTTCCTTTTGGGTCACCCCGCCTCGGCGGGATACAGCCGGTGTGTTGAAAGAAAGAAAGAGGCAAAAATTGTAAGGAGCACCTCCCACCAACATGCAGTTCTAAAACAAACATGCAAATTCCACAAAGGCAGTGGTCCCAGCCAAGAAAAAAAATTTTCCTCATGAGCATTATAATGAAACGTTGTTGAGGACTTACTGTACGTATTATAAAAAAAGTCTATCACAAATAGATTATAAGTCTAAATACTACACACATGAATAAATTTAAAAAAACATACAGCTTTCGCACACAGCAGAAATAATTTAACAAGGTACGTAGAACATAACACAGTACAGTAGCCACCTGGTACAGTGGAACCTCAGTTTTCATGATTAATCCATTCTAAAAAGTCTGACAAAAACTGAACCGTACAAAAACTGAAGCAACATTTCCCGTAAGAAATAAAGTAAATCCAATTAATCCTTTCCAGACACCCAAAAATATTAACAAAAAATATTTACAAAGATAACTATGTTTACTAAGTGAAAGAAACACATGAGGTACTAACGACGGATAATGAATATTAAAGATCATTTTCCTTTACATGAGGAGTTTTATGGATATGGAATTGGTGATGAATGGAAAAGTAGGAGAGGGTTTTTTAAGGGTACCTCATAAGGACTTCAGCGTATCAAGGCCCTATCCAGGTACTGCCCTTTCTCTTTTTCTTTTATGGTCTTGTGGTTCTGTTACCCATCGGTTGCACAAAAAATCTGTAGTAGGTTGTTGTAAGGCACTAAAATTGCCGAAATGGGACATAGCAATGTCATGAAACATGTTAGAAATGCTTGCAAACATCTTTGTTTGGGTGATTTTGCCCCCAAACTTTGGGGGCATCCGGCGTGTTTGGTAAGGACATTTCGATTGTTAGTAAGGCCTTTTAACTCTAGAAACAAGCGAATGTACAAAACTGGGACAAAATTTAAACGAAATTTAACTCGAAAACTTTACTGAAAACTGGGCACTAGAAAAACGGAGTTCCAGTACTTTAAAGAAAATATTTGGCATTGTAAGGAAAATCCTACATTAAGTATACCTTACAAAAGCCTACAAACTTAAACCCTAGGAGCAGTCCAACCATTTATCTAGTTAAAGTGTGACAGTCCTAACCCCAAAGAATTGACCAGAAACAGATCAACAGGAGCAAGTTAGGATCCAAATGCTAAATGACCTGGATTAACCATATTGCAGCCCCAAGATGTGAGACGTGGCATTTGTCTAGGTAGCACTTATGATCAAACCAAGGGAGGCTGGAGTTTAGGAGAACCTAGATCAACTGGTTTGCAGGATAATTGGAGGTCATATGGAATACTGATCCAAGCGATGACAAGAGGAGAAAGTTCAACAGAACCAACCTAATGTTGTGGTGTTTAAAGATAAAAAAACTTGGGCCACAAGTAAACTTCCACACAGTGTAAAAAGAAATAAAGATATGTACTCACAAAAAAAGAGCGGACGGCTAGGTCGGAAAATCCTGAAGAACAGAAATTCAACATGGCAGCATTAGCATTATCTGTCACCTTCTGAAACACTTTGTACTGGGATGACGTGTACAGGTCAACCTAAAGAGAGAAAGATGATATAATGAATATTAACACTGGAATAAATTTTGTAGTCTTCACAATTTATTTACTTTGGGTTACATTTTTTCATAAAAATAAAGTCCCAAATTTACCCTGCATTTAATGTGGCTGAAGTAAAAAAAAAAAAATTACTAAGGAAAAGGATGAGCATAAAAAAAACATAACACATTCCAAGTTTGGTTGTCTATTATTTGTCCCACATCTTTTCTTCCTTTTAGTGTGTATTACTATATCCACGCTGAGGTGCTAAACCTATACAACAGGTAATAACGATAGAATATTTTACTGTATCATCTATAAGAGGGTTTAAGCAGACCAACTATTATAGCTGAAGCTAATTTTCACACATTTCTCAAATGCTAGAAATATTTTATTCTGTACTTTACAACTTGATATATAGTACAGACGCCCCCCAACTTACAAACAAGTTAAGTTCCAGAAGGCTTTTCGTATCTTGAATTGCTCGTAAGTTGTTTTGCCATTTTTCTATTATGACTGTTATTATTATTTTTAATATTATTATCATTATTATTATTGTTCTCTCTTGGTGCCGTTGTTCATTGAAAACTTAAAGACAATACTGTACAGTATCAGTAATGTATGGTTCTTAATACTAAAGCATATTTTAATAACAAATACTGTAATAAAAAGTCTTACCTTTTTAACCGGTACAATAAACTTGAGGTAATGGATGAGAGGAAGATCGGAGGTTGTGTTGGGCTACTGGGGGAGAGGGTCGTCAACCTCATACACTTTGTCATCAAATGCTTCGTCAGTCAGGGATTTGTAAGCCTGGGTTTCATCAACATTTGAAGAGGCTTTTGAGGTAGAAGGCACTGGTCTGAAGAATTTGTCTAAGGAAGTTTGTACCGTTTTTCTCTTCTCGTCATATAGAAGACGTTAGCATGAGATAGAATTGTTAACACCAGTTGAAACCTTCGAGAATCTCTTGATATTGGGGTCTTGAAGCTCAAACATATGGAGACCTCTTTTTATAAGAGAAAATGCCTCAGCCATCATTTTCGTCTCAAACTTTTTAGAAGGAACAGTTTCATCTTGTTCCTCTTGCTCTTCCTTACGCTGCATCTCTTCCAGCTCCATCAAACCTTCATTCGTCAGCTCCTCAGATTGTGCCTCATACAGCTCCTCAAAATCTTCTTCCTTTAGGTCCAGATGAAGTTTCTCACTCTGGCCAATGAGACTGGTGACAATATCTTTTGCATTCTCTGCCGGATCAAAGCCCTCAAAGCTGTTGACAAATTGTGGACATAATGCCTTCCAATGCTGTTGACAAATTGTGGACACAAAGCCTTCCAAAACATCATACTATGCAGAAGGTAGACAACTCAACCAGATCAACCAGGCTGTGATGGATATGTGAGGCAGCGGGCCTTCAGCAGCAACAGCCTGGTTGACTAGGCAAGCACCAGATGAGCCTTCCCATGGCCAGGCTCAGAGAGTAGAAAAACTCTCGAAACTCTTCAAAGGTATATCAAAGGTAACTCAAAATTCGGATTTGCGGAAGTACTGTGAATGAAACTTTAACTAACACGTTAGTCTGTTCGTATGTCCAAATGTTCATAACTCGAATGTTCGTAAGTAGGATAGCGTCTGTACCTTAAATTTACAAATGCTATTTTCTTTAATAATAATAATAATAATAATATATTTATTTTACTACAAGTACATGTACAGGGTATACAGTCCTAGCTGGTAACAATGACATACTACTATATAGAAAGTCCCTTGTTATGTTCCGCATTTCGGGCAAATTAGGTCAGTGTCCCAGGATGCGACCCACACCAGTCGACTAACACCCAGGTACCCATTTTACTGATGGGGAACATAGACAACAGGTGGAAAGAAACACGTCCAATGTTTCTACTCTGGCTGGGAATCGAACCCAGGCCCTCGCCGTGTGAAGCGAGAGCTTTAACCACCAGGCCATCAGAGCCCTTTATATTGGTTTAAGGTATATTACATAAACCTATACAGTAATATATTTTCTTTTCTTTTCTTTCAACAAATCAGCCGTATCCCACCAAGGCAGGGTGGCCCAAAAAGAAAAACAAAAGTTTCTCTTTTCAAATTTAGTAATACAGGAGAAGGGGTTACTAGCCCCTTGCTCCTGGTATTTTAGTCGCTTCTTACAACACGCATGGTTTACAGAAGAAGAATTCTGTTCCACTTCCCCATGGAGATAAGAGGAAATAAACAAGAACAAGAACTAGAAAGAAAATACCAGAAAACCCAGAGGGGTGTGTATATATATGCTTGTACATGTATGTGTAGTGTGACCTAAGTGTAAGTAGAAGTAGCAAGATGTACCTGAAATCTTGCATGTTTATGAGACAGAAAAAAGACACCAGCAATCCTACCATCATGTAAAACAATTACAGGCTTTCGTTTTACAATCACTTGGCAGGACGGTAGTACCTCCCTGGGCGGTTGCTGTCTACCAGCCTACTACCTAGAACAGTAATATATTTAACTACAAAAAATAAATAGGTAAGAGGGTCACAATATGTCTGGCAATGAAGTGGCAAAAATAAGGAATCATTCATATCATAACACTTATTCTGTCATGGTGCAAGAATAGATGAGTATCTACCTTGCCATCTTCATCAAGTAAAGGTTCATTGTATGCTCTGACAACGACCCATTCAATGAGTATTCCTTTGAATGTCACCACAGCTCTCAACACACGGCCTAGAGTCACCTGCAATACATAATTGACCCTGAATTTAATTTTATATACGTATAGTAAATTTTAGTTTCATGCAAAACAGGTCACCCCTTGTATTGCCAGCCAAGCATCTACACTCTAAGAGCACTGCATGCCTTATTCAGTGTTTTTATCAAACGATTTTGGAGATATTCATCATTTCATCTCTTCTCTGGTTATTAGCAATGGCACCCAAAATAAATATTGGTGATACTCGAGGTGCCAAGAAGAAAATTAAGCCTGAAACATTGATAGTTTAAAACACAATGAGGTTTTAGATCACTGAGAGATAATTTATATGATGCAATTTGCACACTCCACTGGTCTCAGAGAATCAACCACTCAAACAATTAGGTGCAGAAAAGAACATAAGAGTTGTAATGAGAAATCCTAACTGCAGCTTGCTGAAAAAAATGACACACAAGTTGATACAGCTAAATAACACAGAATAGTTAATGAATGTGTGGAGTGAGGAGACAACAGTGAATGGTGCCCCCCTGACTTTATGCTAAGATAGTACACAAAAGCAATATCCTACTATTAAGCTGTGTGTGAAAGAAGGAAAGCTTTCACAGCTGTGTACATTTAGTGCTAGATGGTTTGGGTGATGTATACGCTGTAACTGGTTACAAAATAATATTAGGAACAGGAAAAAGTTAGCTCATCAAACTGACTTGATAAATTTCCATGCTGAGCTTGAGCAAATTATTTCTGAGGGTTATAATCCTGAACAAGTACTAAATACTGACAAGACATGGTTATGCTGGAAGAAAAAAAATGGAACAAATGATTTGAAGTGCAAGCCTATGCTACCTTAACTTGCAGAGACTTCCTTTGATTTAAAGGTAAAGTGAAAGCCAGTTTGCCTGATATTTGGTGGTCTAACAATGCAGCATAAAAAACTAAAGTTCAAGCACTATTTTAATCCTGCAGAACTAAGTGTCCCAAAAGAGCCTTGCACTCAAGGTTCTTCTCACTCATGATAATTCCTGTAGCCAGCCTTAAATCTTAGTCTTCGAACTCAAATGTGCAGATTGTCGAAATAGTAACATGATTGCAAAAAGACCACAGAACAGGTGGGGGCTTGCACACTGACCTAGAGTTTTATGACTCGCTTGCCAGGGGTTCAAACCCGACCTATTCCCTCGTTTCTGCAGATCATGTTTTTTTTTTTTCTCTCAACAAGTTGGCCGTGTCCCACCAAGGCAGGGTGACCCAAAAAAGAAAGAAAATCCCCAAAAAGAAAATACTTTCATCATCATTCAACACTTTCACCACACTCACACATTATCACTGTTTTTGCAGAGGTGCTCAGAATACAACAGTTTAGAAGCATACACATATAAAGATACACAACATATCCCTCCAAACTGCCAATATCCCAAACCCCTCCTTTAAAGTGCAGGCATTGTACTTCCCATTTCCAGGACTCAAGTCCGACTATATGAAAATAACCGGTTTCCCTGAATCCCTTCACTAAATATTACCCTGCTCACTCCAACAGATCGTCAGGTTCCAAGTACCATTCGTCTCCATTCACTCCTATCTAACACGCTCATGCACGCTTGTTGGAAGTCCAAGCCCCTTGCCCACAAAACCTCCTTTACCCCTTCTCTCCAATCCTTTCGAGGACGACCCCTACCCCGTATCCTTCCCCTATAGATTTATATGCTTTCCATGTCATTCTACTTTGCATCCATTCTCTCTAAATGACCAAACCACCTCAACAACCCCTCTTCTGCCCTCTGACTAATACTTTTATTAACTCCACACCTTTTCCTAATTTCCACACTCCGAATTTTCTGCATAATATTTACACCACACATTGCCCTTAAACAGGACATCTCCACTGCCTCCAACCTTTCTCCTCGCTGCTGCTTTTTACCACCCAAGCTTCACACCCATATAAGTGTTGGTACTACTATACTTTCATACATTCCCTTCTTTGCCTCCATAGATAACGTTTTTTGACTCCACATATACCTCAATGCACCACTCACCTTTTTTTTTCCCTCATCCTTCATAAATCCATCCACCGACACGTCAACTCCCAAGTAATCTGAAAACATTCACTTCTTCCATACTCCCCTCTCCCCAATTTGATATCCAATTTTTCTTTATCTAAATCATTTGATACCCTCATCACCTTACTCTTTCTATGTTCACTTTCAACTTTCTACCTTTACACACATTCTCAAACTCATCCACTAACCTTTGCAATTTTTCTTTAGAATCTCCCATAAGCACAGTATCATCAGCAAAAAGTAACTGTGTCAATTTCCCATTTTGAATTTGATTCCCCATAATTAATCCCACCCCTCTCCCGAACACCCTAGCATTTACTTCTTTTACAACCCCATCTATAAATATATTAAACAACCATGGTGACATTACACATCCCTGTCTAAGACCTACTTTTACCGGAAGTATTCTCCCTCTCTTCTACACACCCTAACCTGAGCCTCACTATCCTCAAAAAAAGCTCTTTACAGCATTTAGTAACTTACCGCCTATTCCATATACTTGCAACATCTGCCACATTGCTCCTCTATCCACTCTATCATATGCATTTTCTAAATCCATAAATGCAATAAAAACTTCCCTACCTTTATCTAATACTGTTCACATATATGCTTCAATGTAAACACTTGATCTACACATCCCCTACCCACTCTGAAGCCTCCTTGCTCATCTGCAATCCTACATTCTGTCTTACTTCTAATTCTTTCAATTATAACCCTACCGTATACTTTTCCTGGTATACTCAGTAAACTTATTCCTCTATAATTTTTACAATCTCTTTTGTCCCCCTTCCCTTTATATAAAGGGACTATACATGCTCTCCGCCAATCCCTAGGTACCTTCCCCTCTTTCATACTTTTAAATTAAACAAAAGTACCAACCACTCCAACACTATATCCCCCCCTGCTTTTAACATTCTGTCATGATCCCATCAGTTCCAGCTGCTTTAACCCCCTTTCATTCTACGTAATGCCTCACGTACCTCCACCACACTTACATTCTGCTCTTCTTCACTCTAAAAGATGGTATACCTCCCTGGCCAGTGCATGAAATTTTACCGCCTCCCTTTCTTCCTCAACATTTAAAAGTTCCTCAAAATATTCTCGCCATCTACCTAATACCTCCCTCTCCCCATCTACTAACTCCCCTACTCTGTTTTTAACTGACAAATCCATACTTTCCCTAGGCTTTCTTAACTTGTTTAACTCACTCCAAAATTTTTTCTTATTTCATTAAAATTTCTTGACAGTGCTTCTCCCACTCTTTCATCTGCTCTCCTTTTGCACTCTCTCACCACTCTCTTTTTTTACTCTCCATATACTCTGCTCTTCTTATAACACTTCTGCTTTGTAAAAACCTCTCGTAAGCTACCTTTTTCTCTTTTATCACACCCTTTACTTCATCATTCCACCAATCACTCCTCTTTCCTCCTGCCCCCACCCTCCTATAACCACAAACTTATGCCCCACATTCTAATACGCATTTTTAAAACTATTCCAACCCTCTTCAACCCCCCACTACTCATCTTGCACTAGCCCACCTTTCTCCCTAATAGTCGCTTATATCTCGCCCGAATTTTCCTCCTCCCTTAGTTTATACACTTTCACCTCCCTCTTACTTGTTGTTGCCACCTTCCTCTTTTCCCAACTACCTCTTACTCTAACTGTAGCTACAACTAAATTAATGATCCGATATATCAGTTGCCCCTCTATAACATTTTACATCCTGGAGCCTACCCATCAACCTTCTATCCACCAATACATAATCTAATAAACTACTTTCATTACGCTCTACATCATACCTTGTATATTTATTTATCCTCTTTTTCATAAAATATGTATTACTTATTACCAAATCTTTTCTACACATAGCTCAATTAAAGGCTCCCCATTTACATTTACCCCTGGCACCCCAAATTTACCTACTACTCCCTCTATAACATTTTTAACCCACTTTACCATTGAAATCCCCAACCACCATTACTCTCACACTCGATTCAAAACTCCCCACGCATTCACTCAACATTTCCCAAAATCTCTCTCTCTCCTCTACACTTCTCTCTTCTCCAGGTGCATACACGCTTATTATAACCCACTTTTCACATCCAAAGTCTTTATTTTACTCCACATAATCCTTGAATTAATACATTTATAGTCCCTCTTTTCCTCCCACAGCTTATCCTTCAACATTATTGCTACTCCTTCTTAGCTCTAACTCTATTTGAAACCCCTGACCTAATCCCATTTATTCCTCTCCATTGAAACTCTCCCACCCCCTTCAGCTTTGTTTCACTTAAAGCCAGGACATCCAGCTTCTTCTCATTCATAACATCCACAATCATCTCTTTCTTATCATTTGCACAACATCCATGCACATTCAGACTTTCCACTTTGACAATTTTCTTCATCTTATTCTTTTTAGCAATCTTTACAGGAAAAGGGGTTACTAGCCCATTGTTCCCGGCATTTTAGTTGACTTTTACAACACGCATGGCTTACGGAGGAAAGATTCTTATTCCACTTCCCCATGGATATAAAAGTTAAAGTAATAAGACCAAGAACTATTAAGATAAAATCAAAGAAAACTCAGATGAGTGTGTATACATAAATGTGTACATGTATGTGTAGTGTGACCTAAGTGTAAGTAGAAGTAGCAAGACATACCTGTAATCTTGCATATTTATGAGACAGACAAAAGACATCAGCAATCCTACCATCACGTAAAACAATTACAGGCTTTCGTTTTACACTCACTTGGCAGGACGGTAGTATCTCCCTGGGTGGTTGCTGTCTACCAACCTAATACATTTACCACCCAAAATTACATCTTTAACAAACTGGATCAAGGAGTTATGAAGACATTTAAGTGCCACTACACATGCAAGGTCAAGAAAAAAAGGCATTTGCAGCAATGGATGATAGATCCAAGAATGGTAAGCCAGAGTTCTGGTGTAAATTTAACTTACTCACATTCTGCAAGGAACACCATCTTTGTTTTCTTGTATGTGTCTCACAACAGTATTCATTTTACCAATATATTATTATTGAGCACATTAATGCATTTGTTTTATCAAACAAGAGCTGGCAAGTGGGAGAGCTATTAGCTCTATGATCCCTCCTGCCCACAGCCTGGCCAGTGACGTCACAAACCCAATCAAAGCACACAGGGTGATGACCAGTACAGCATTACCTGCAAGTAATTATGTGGCATTACCAATGAATGTCAGTTACCCAAACCCAAGACCAAGGAATACTACGCTCTCTCAAGGCGGAAAAATCAGTAATCCGGAAAGGCTTTGGAACCTAAGGCTCCAGAAAATCGATGTTGTACCTGTACTGCTGCACAAAATTAATGCACCAAACCTTTATATGATATTAGCCTGAATAAACATTTACTGTATATACAGTATATTTAATTAGTAAAAGTGCTCAAAGTTATTTAAAAGATTTTAAAAGGAAAAAAAAAAATGATACCTGGACTACAGCATTGTTACCAAACGGTCGAGACAGGTTTAGCGTCATGTCTGGAAACATCTGGTTAATACTTTGAATTATCCATCCACTTGCCTGTAATATCAAAAGTCTAAATTAATGACAAAGACAATATTTCAATCATATAGTACATAGTGATAACATGCACAACTGTAGACAAAGACATCAAAAGTATTGCTTGTGGTGTTCAGCTTTAGATTTATGAACTCCTTTTAATGACATATTTCACCATGTGTCCATGAATGGTATTTTTTGTTCTGTGCATTTCTATGACAACTATGTAATAAACAAAAAATATGTGAGCACTAATGCTTATTTGTCTCATTATCTTTCATTTTATTAATAAATATACTATACCATCCTCTATAATCTAAAACTCACTCTGGTATTCATGAAAATTTTACAAGAAATCTGACAGATAAAACAAAAGCAATTACTGTATAAAGCAAGATTGGCAGACAAATGTCTCTATAATTTCTACACTCATCTTCGCTACCATACCTATGCCCAACTACATTTTTGCTTTTATCCAGTCGTCCAAGCATGACTAAGCATTTTGTGCGGCAATTCAGAATTGTCACTGCCAACATTATTTTTTTTTTCTATTATTCTATATATGGTTGTTTCTAATGTCTCTTGATAGTTTTTTGGTTTGTAATACCATCCAGATGAAACATAAGCTACAAAAACATTGAAAAATGTCAAAAAATTTGTTTCAGTGCAAAAGAACTTTCCTCAAAAGAATTTTTTTTTTTTTTATAAATTTTGAGGAATGACTTAAAAATCTGTTACAAATGCTAACCCTTTAAAAATTCACCTTACAATCGAGAAAACAAATTACAGTACACATGTTGTCTTACTGTTGAGGTACATTATGGTTTAACTGAACAGGTCGTCTCCTTTTAGCAGAATAAGGTGATGATATTGATGACCTCTTGAGGTTATTTCCAGAGAAGAGAGAGTGCATTATTGTAGAGTAACAGTGAACCTGTTGATACAGAAGATCATTAGTAAAAATATAAACTCACTATATTTTTTTTACCTTATACAGTAACAACAAAACTAAGTGAAATATGAGAAGTGGTACACGAGGTTTCAATGTGGGGAAAGTGCAAAGTCCTAGTTCTTGGAAATGAAAATAACCCTGGCACCTTATAAACCAAAAAAATATAAAACTTGATCATACAGAATATGAAAAGGACTTAGGAGTTATGGTAAATGGATATCTCAAGATATGGCAGTAGTGCCTTAGTGTCCATAATAAGATTAATAGAGTGAGTGGATGTATATTAAGATGCATATGCAACAGGTTATCCTACAGCTCTAAACATCATTACTGAAGACTCATTTGAATTATGCAGCACAGTTTTGGTTTCCATACTAGAGAATGGATATAAATGAATTGGAAAATAATACAGTACAAAGAATGAGAAAATTAATTCACTCTATAAGGAATCTTTGATGTAAAGACAGGCTAAAAGCCCTGAACTTACACTCTTAAATATACCAGTACGTGAATTTAATTGTCTCGCAAATATCTCTCTGTAAAAAAAGTAAGTTTGGCTAACTCTTACCTTTTCCATCCATGTGTAACAGTCCAACAGCTGGTAGTAAAGTGGCAGTTTATCTGGTGTGGGATCCAAGGAGAGGAGCCCTGTGTTGCCCAGATTTACCGGGTTTGATGGTGGACTAAGGCCTGCCACTTGTGTCTCCAACTCTCTGCAAATTTAACTAGTGCTTATTTTCTTTTCTGCTGAATTATTAACTAAAATTATGTAAACCACAAAAAGTGGTCTAAGTTTTTGACATTACATAATTGTTTACTGTACTCGTATATAAAAGGTTCAAACACTAATAAAAAATTAAGTATGTAAGTTTACTTAGGTACAGGTCCACATAAGTACACTTATCTTACATAATAATATACTTAGGATAACCCCAAATAAAAGTCAAAGTGGCCTATTTCCATTGGGGTCCTTGTAATATCTTATTATTTAAAGCCTAAAAGTAAGTTACATGATTATAGCCTTAAAAGTTAAACCAGCTAAGTAACTTAACTGTGTGAAAATCAGTTACAATACAAGTGGATACAACAGGAATAAAGGAAACCGAGTTATTTACATTAATATTAAAGAGAAGATCAGCTTACAATAACAGGTACATGAATGTTAGTTATACAAGAAATTACTCTCCTCATTTCTGTAGCTTCATTCATTAGGTACCTTTCTGTAGCTTCATTCATTAGGTTCCTTTCTGTAGCTTCACTCATTAGGTACCTTTCTGTATCCTCATTCATTAGGTACCTTTCTATAGTTTAAATTCATTAGGTAGCTTTCCGTAGCTTCATTCATTAGGTACCTTTTAGCTCTCTTCCTGAACTGGCTCATGCTAGGTTAGTCTTTGACATGTGCAGGTAATCCATTTCATTCCTTGGTTATAAAATAAAAGGTGTTTTAGGCCTGACCACCTACTGTAGGTACCACATTATTATCAACAGTGCTAAACTTACAAGTGTCATACAGCTGTAAGTACTACAAAATTGTGTTCACTTCCCCCCCTCGTACTGTATTTACGTGTACCTGGATAAAAACTTACTTACCATACCGGGTCCTGTGTCACTGACTGTCATGGTTATATTATTCAAGAACCAGAAACATTTAAACTAACCGCAGGTGAGTCTTGACATCAGCCATAACCTTCATTGCTCTCTCTGAAAAATTATTCTGCCCTTCAGTAAGATTATCTTCTTTAGCTCCCTCTGACACTATTTTAAAAAAGAGTGTAGCACTGCTCCTTAGTGTTCTGAGCGTGTTGAGAGTTACTGTGAGAGCCTCGACGTTCAGTCCTTCCATTGCTGCCATGTTTCTCTGTTGATGTTATTGTTGGGTATTAAGACTGAGCAGTTCGAGGACCGTGTGAACCCGGCCGCCGGAGCACTGGATTCATATTATTATTATAATCAACAAGAAGCGCTAAGCCACAGAGGCTATACAGCGCTGTACTGGATTCATAAAAGATAACATTACCTCCCGGAATAATTCGCAAATTACCAGCAACATTTACAAAGTCACAGTAACTTTCTGAAGTGTGTGACTTTGTAAATGGTCCAAGTCAGACTGAAACGTTGTCGAGAGCTTGTATCTCCTTTGTGCGGGTTATTTGTGTATTGTTCCAGTCACGGTATTGAGCCTTTTTGTTCTTGACCCCCCCAGGCTAGGGTATACCCGAAGGGTGCTTCGGGGGTTAATGCCCCCGAGGCCCTCGCGGTTTATCAGGGTCTGATCAACCAGGCTGTTACTGCTGCTTGCACGCAATCCGACGTACGAACCACAGCCTGGCTGGTCAGGAACTAACTTTTGGTGTCTGTCCAGCTCCCTCTTGAAGACAGCCAGGGATCTATTGGCATTCCTCCCTTATATATGCAGGGAAGGCGGTGTGCTGCAGTTATTACCGCAGTCGGCGTGCTGAATCCATCGCTACCAAAGTGCCATACCCATTGTGGAAAATATTTTAATTTTCCAACGCTATAGTGCCTAATAGATGTTTAATGTGTCGATATGGTCAAAAATGTATTTGAAAATAGAATAGAACCAAGAGTTCCCTTTGCGCATGCGCGGATGTGCGGGGGTAGAGGTCGACTCGGGGCATGGGAGAGGCGGCAGTGTTTTGAATAGGTTTAAGAGGCTGTGAAAACATGGGACCAGGAAATTGGTGCTCACGGCGGCCTAAGGATTAATACAGGCCTCACTTCATAATAGGAAGTGTCGTGACTGTCCCTGGTGAAGAGTGAGGGAACGTGATTGACGGCACCGCTGTAAATAAGGTGGTAAAATGAGTGAATAATGGTAGGACAATTTTCCATACCCATGACTATTACCGAATAAGCAATCAGTTAATTTTGTCTTAGTAGTCTTAAGATAGGCTTAAATTTGACAGAAATACTCTACATACTAAGGGGCTTTCTGCATGCATAGCTAAATGTCACCCATCTTTGCACAAACATCATATCATGCTGAAATAATTTTTAATCTTTAATTACCGCTGCTGAAGTGCTGAATTCATTACCTCTGCAGGAATGCTGAAGCTGTTACCACCGCTGGAGTGCTGAATCATCTGCTACAACTAAAGTGTTAAACCAATTACCACCGCTGGACTGCTGGATCTACCAATGCTCTCCTAAATGCTCTACCTGCCTCTCCTAAACATATATTATTATTATTATAATCAAAAAGAAGCGCTAAGCCACAAGGGCTATACAGCGCTGCAGGGTAGGGAAGGAAGCAAGGGTATTGGATGGCAGAAGGGAGGAGGGATGATCAGCCAGTTACAGAAAACAGCGGGGCAGGAGATAGTACGGGGGTAGAGGGTAGCAAGAGATTGAAGTAGAAAGGGCTGAAGGTATCAGAATTTGTGAAGTAAGTCAGTTGTTGTCAAAAAGTCAATGAGAGAGTCCGGATGAAAGGTGGGTTCATCAGCGAGAAGGGAAGGTAAAGAGAGAGCAGCGGAGCGAAGACGACGACAGAGGTAAATTCTGCGTGCTCGTTGATAAAGTGGGCAGTCCAACAGAATGTGGCTGACTGATAATGGAGCTTGGCAATTCTCACAGAGAGGAGCAAGACGCCTCTCCATGAGATATCCATGAGTAAGACGAGTATGGCCAATGCGAAGACGGGAGAGAGTAGTCTCCCAACCTCGACACTGGTGATAAGAAGACGGCCAGTAACCTATACTCGGTTTAATAGATTGAAGTTTGTTGCCGAGCATAGTAGACCAACGTTGTTGCCAACGGGTGTGAAGGTGGGAAGATATTGCAGCAAAATAGTCCGTAAATGGAATACCTCTATAAGAAACTGGTAGGTCATGTACTGCTGACCGCACAGCAGTGTCTGCCTGTTCATTGCCCTGTACATCAACATGACCAGGGACCCACAAAAAACAATATCTTTATGCTTGGTAAAGATGCGGCGTAGCCAAAGTTGGATACGGAGGACTAAGGGGTGAGGTGTATCAAATTTTTGTATAGCCTGTAAAGCACTAAGGGAGTCTGAGACAACCACAAATGATGACACAGGCATAGATGCAATACGGATAAGTGCTGTAAGGATGGCATATAATTCAGCAGTAAAAATACTAGCCGAAGATAGTAAATGCCCTTGTACGACGCTGTCTGGAAACACTGCTGCGAATCCTACGCCGTCAGAAGACTTAGAGCCATCTGTGTACACAGCAATGGCATGAGAATGAGAGTGAAAGTGGTCAAGAAAAAGAGAGCGGGAAGCGACCATAGACAGTTGGGCTTTCGAGCAAGGGAGGGAGAAAGAACAGACTCGAACAGCTGGAACTTCCCAGGGGGGTAGGGAAAAGCGAGATGCTACATGTACATAGAAAGGTGGTAGTTGAAGAGAAGACAAGAGCGAATGAAGGCGAAGAGAGAAGGGATGGAGTAAACAGGGGCGGTGAACAAATAAAGAATGTCTATTAATATCCGTGACCATTCTATAAATGGAAGGATTGCGGAGATCATGAGAGCATACATAGTAGCGCAGGCAATGGGTATCACGGCGATCGGATAAGGATGGAACGTTCGCTTCTGCATAGAGGCTCTCGACAGGGGAAGAGCGAAAAGCACCAAGGCATAAACGTAATCCTTGGTGATGAATGGGGTTAAGGCTAGATAGAGTAGCAGGAGATGCCGCTGAATAGATCTGGTCACCATAATCAAGTTTCGATAAAATAAGGGTGGAATGTAGGCGAAGGAGGGTTCGACGATCAGCTCCCCATGAAAGATGAGAAAGGGTTTTAAGAAGGTTCAGCTGGCTGTGACAAGTTGCCTTCAGAGAGGTAATGTGAGGTTTCCAGGATAACCTACGATCAAAGAGGAGGCCCAGAAACTTGACTGTATCACGTTCAGGGATACGGGAGCCATAGAGGTACAAAGGATGATCGGAGATGACAGAGCGTCTAGTGAAAGTAATTTGGTGGGTTTTAGTGCTGGAAAATTTAAACCCACGTGTGGTGGCCCAATTGGAAACACGGTCGACTGCATGTTGAAGAGAAACTGTAATGAGGTGACAGTCAGCGCCTGCACAGGCAATAGCGAAGTCATCAACATAGAGTGATGACCAAATATTTGATGGAAGACTAGAGGCCAAATCATTAATAGCAAAGAGAAAAAGTGTTGTGCTCAGAACACATCCCTGGGGGACACCTTCAGCTTGGATAAAGTCCGGGGAGAGCACATTATTAACCCGAACACGGAAATGCCTGTCAGTTAAAAAGTTCTTAAGGAAGGATGGTAGATTGCCTCGAAGGCCTAAGGAGTGGGCTTGGGCAAAAATATTATACCTCCAAGTTGTGTCATATGCCTTCTCAAGGTCAAAAATATGGCAATAACTGAGTGGTTATTCGCAAAGGCATTACGAACATAAGTATCCAAGCGTAGTAAGGGGTCTATGGTAGAACGTCCCTTACGAAAGCCATATTGATGAGTGGAGAGACTGTTGTGTGTCTCTAAATACCACAGTAAGCGTCTATTTACTAGGCGTTCCATTACTTTGCAAACTGCACTGGTAAGAGCAATGGGACGATAGTGGGAGGTTTCATGTCCCGTAGTGCCTGGTTTGCGGAAAGGGAGAACAATGGCGGATTTCCACAGCTGTGGAAGAACTCCTTGTGACCAAATAAGATTGTAAAGGCGTAATAGGACTGCAAGGGCTGACTGATGTAAATGTTGTAGCATACGAATATGAATGTCGTCGGGCCCAGCTGCCGATGATTGACAAGCTGAGAGTGTTGCCTCCAGTTCTTGAAGTGTAAAAGGCATATTATACTGTTCTTCTCTGAGAGAAGAAAAGTCCAATGGTGCTAACTCTCTGGCAGACTTTGAGGAAAGAAATGAGGGGCATAGATGGAGTCCCTGAGAAATACGGACCAGATGATTGCCAATTTCATTGGCAACATCTAGTGGGTTTTTTTCAACCCGGCAACCCGCAGAACAGGAGCCGGGCCGGGAGAATATTTACCACTCATTTTCGTACTTTTTCCAGACTGCACTCATAGAGGAAGCAGAGGTGATGGTGGAGACATAATCTCGCCAGCAAGTGCGTTTAGCGTCACGGATGACACGGCGAGTGATCGCACGCTTCTGTTTAAAATCAAGGAGGAGTTGCTCGTTTCTATGTACCAATAAACCCCAAGCAGCGCGTTTCAAACGTACTGCACGAGCACAAGCAGGAGCCACCAAGGCACGCATTTCTGAGAATGTCCTCGCTCGAAATTGGTACAAAGTGAGAAGCTGGGTGAAACGGAGGACAGGCAAGAGGTGTAAAGATTCAAGTAGTAGAAGAGAAACCGCTATAAAAACCCTTACGATATGAAAGGTTCAATGCCGATCAAATTGCAACATCTGGGTTCTAAAGTGGATAGAGTTTGCGATCCAGTGCTTATTCGAACAGATCGCTGACTAAAGAAGTACAGGAGAACAACCAATGAGAAAGTCCCAATGGCTTGGAGTAGTGATTACAACAGCAGGGTGGAGGAGAATCTCCGATCAAAAGTGTGTGAATACTCCAATCGAAGAACTGATAGCGTCATCTTTGTATAGGTTTACTGAAAAGCCTCTAACTGAATTCACGGATATGATGAAGCCCCCGCGGCGAAATAGTGGCATTAAAATCATAATGTCAATGGTGCTTAAACAAACAAGAAGAAGGTCATATCGGACACAGATGGCCCGGAAGGACGCAATATTTAATGACAGGCCAAACCACCTAGAATTCTACACGGTGCTGTGTAGGATCACTTGTCAACTTGTCAACCGAAGTCCTGCATAGAACGAATGGAAGTATTGGCTTGTCAAATTAAAGAGCCCATCAGGAAAAGGTCTCGGATGCATGAAATTAACTGAGTGTACCTTGAGGATTGGAGTCTGGAGTTCATCTGTTCAAGAATGTCAAGCCACAGCGGAAATTATTGTTAACATACTGAAGGGACCAGAATGACGACCACTCAGAATATCATGTAAATAGGCCAGATGCAGAACATAATCGATAGGGAAACGAGGAGCTCATGGACTAGAGCGATTGTAAACGATGTGATGCACGAAAACCTTAAGCAGAAAAGAAACTTACCTGAAGGATAGGAGTTGCCGCAAGACAGAGGAGAGAAGAGAAGATGGCAGTTCAGATGTTGGTCTAAAGCAATATTTAGTCCATTGCTTCAGTTTGAATGACTAAAGGACGTCGTAAGAGGAGCGAATCATTCTGAAAGGACGAGAGAGGAGAAGTATCATAGAGGTAATTTGGTGTACAAGTTAGGGGCGGGGGACCAGAGTGACGAACGAGAAC